TGCCAGAGATTTCTGTAGGTCTTTAGCTGACACTCTGGGATTCTTCTTTACCTCATGCAGCATTCTGCGCTGTGCTCTTGCAGTCATTTTTACAGGACGACCACACCCTAGGGAGAGTAGCAGCAGTGCTAAACTTTCTCTCATTTTGTAGACAGTCTGTCTTACCGTGGACACATGAACATCAAGGCTCAAGGAGATACTTTTGTAACCCTTTCCAGCTTCATGCAAGTCAACAATTCTTGATCATAGGTCTTCTGAGAGCTCTTTTCTGCGAGGCATGGTTCACATCAGACAGTGCTTCTTGAAACCAGTAAACCCAAAACAGGTGTCAGCAACACATCCAATATCATCACACTGATTGGAGTCAAGGTTGGCTCACTCCTGGCTCCAATTAGCTCTGGGAGAAGTCATTAAGCTAGGGCCTCACATACTTTTTCCTCCCTGCACTGTGAATGTTTACATGTTATGTGCAATTAAACCATGGCAACATCTAATGTTTGTGTAGTATTATGTTCAGCAGACTGTGTTCTTCTATTGTTGTGACTTAGATGACGTTCAGAGCACATTTTATGCCCAAATCATGCAAAACTCCACGTAATCCCAAGGGGTTCACATACTTTTTCTTGCAACTGTAAATAAAACAAAAAAAATGAATATATATAAATTAAAATAAATAAATATATATATTTATATATATATATATATATATATATATGTGTACATATATATAAATTTTGTTTATATATATTTTTAATTTTTTTCAATATATATATATATATATATAAAAAATAAATGAAAAAAGTAAAAAAAAAAAATATATATTTCATTTATATATATATATATATATATATATATATATATATAATTTTTCTTCATTTATTTATATATATTTATTTATTTATGTTTGTTTTATAACACACACATAACTGAACTATAGGGATTCTTTTTGTCATATTTGTTTGCTCTGCTTACTATACGGAGACGTATAAAGTTTTATACACTCAGAAATGGAAGACATCTTTGTTTTTTGTTTTATCATTTATTGACAAAGATTTTCGCTATAACAAGGTACAATTAAAGAGGACCTGTCATCGGATGTATTTGTATGTTCAGAGCTGCATGTCAGATAATACTTCCACATATTTATTACCTCTCGCAGAGACCAAAAACACTGACAATATCATCATCTACTCTCTTTTTTTCCCTCTTGAAAGCTAGCGCCATCTTTGTTCAGGCATCATTCAGGGTCACCATCTACTTCCTGCACCGAGATGTTGCCTCACAAAGGACGCAATAATATACCGTAAATCTTGCTGTCTATGCAGTTCTTGGCTGTGTTCACAAATGACTGACACAGATCAGCCCCTGCTGCAGCCTCTCGCCTTGTAACTCGCTAAAAGCTTACAATCGTGTGCTGGAGAAGTCCTGGAGAGGGGCATGGGAGGAGGAGACAAGGGAGCTAGAGAGCAGGAGGTTACATGAATATAGTCTGATAGATTGGGGTAGAGAGTTCCAGAGGATGGGGGAGGCTCTGAAGAAGTCCTGGAGAGGAGCATGGGAGGAGGAGACAAGGGAGCTACAGAGCAGGAGGTTAAATGAATATAGTCTGATAGATTGGGGTAGAGAGTTCCAGAGGATGGGGGAGGCTCTGAAGAGAAATCCAGGAGACAGAGGGAGCATGCGATGGAGGAGGCTCTGGAGAAATCAAGGGAGCTAGAGACAAGGGAGCTAGAGAGCAGGAGGTTAAATGAATATAGTCTGATAGATTGGGGTAGAGAGTTTCCAGAGGATGGGGGAGGCTCTGGAGAAGTCCTGGAGAGGAGCATGGGAGGAGGAGACAAGGGAGCTAGAGAGCAGGAGGTTAAATGAATATAGTCTGATAGATTGGGGTAGAGAGTTTCCAGGGGATGGGGGAGGCTCTGGAGAAATCCAGGAGAGGGGCATGGGAGGAGGAGACAAGGGAGCTAGAGAACAGGAGCTTAAATGAATATAGTCTGATAGATTGGGGTAGAGAGTTCCAGGGGATGGGGGAGGCTCTGGAGAAATCCTGGAGAGGAGCATGGGAGGAGGAGACAAGGGAGCTAGAGAGCAGGAGGTTAAATGAATATAGTCTGATAGATTGGGGTAGAGAGTTCCAGAGGATGGGGGAGGGTCTGGAGAAATCCTGGAGAGGAGCATGGGAGGAGGAGACAAGGGAGCTAGAGAGCAGGAGGTTAAATGAATATAGTCTGATAGATTGGGGTAGAGAGTTCCAGGGGATGGGGGAGGCTGATAGATTGCCCATATGGAAGAAAAATATATTTTAAATGTATTTTAAAAATATTCTTCCCAAATATATTACCATATATATGAAATGCTACAATTGTGGCCGTATTCGATATATTTGAAAACATATTTGAATATATATATATATATACACTGCATGTTGAAATGTGTTTTTATTGCAAAATATATGAAAAATATTTTTAAAAATACATTTCAAATATACTGTATGTCTTTAAAAATACAAATCTACATTTTTGGAATGTATTTACAAATATATGTAAAAATATATGTTAAAATTACTTTTTTTTTTATATATATATGTTAAAAAAAATCTGAAGAATAGTTTTACAAAATATATATTTTTTAAAATATATATTTTTTAATATTATTCTTCAGATTTTTTTAACATACATATATAAAAAAAAAAAGTCATTTAACATATATTTTTACATATATTTGTAAATACATTCCAAAAATGTAGATTTGTATTTTTAAAGACATACATATATTTGAAATGTATTTTTAAAAATATTTTTCATATATTTTGTAATAAAAATTAATTTCAACATGCAGAGTATATATATATATATATATTGAATACGGCCAAAATTGTAGCATTTCAAATATATTTTTCTTCCATGTAGGGTCCCCGTGGAAGCTGTAAATCACTGGATAGTCACCCCTGCTACCAGGGGCGGACTGACAACTCATGGGGCCCCCGGGCAATAGGGGACCATGGGGCCCCTGTGTCCTTGCCCAAACTCAAAGCACACCCAAAAAAGCCAATGAAAAAGGTACCAGGGGCATCTCATGGGGCCCCCCTACTGACCCCGGGCCCTCGGGCAGTGCCAGAGTTTCCAAATGGTCAATCCGCCGCTGCCTGCTACACAGGGCCGGGACAAGGGTTGGGCAGGAGGAGCGGCTGCCCTGGGCACTGCGGTATCATGTGGGGTGGAGGGGTGGGGGACCACGAGGAGCTTGGTGGAAGGGGATTTGTGTTGGAAGGGGGAATTTGGCGGGGGGCAGGGGGTAAGAACTGTTCAAGGAGGAGAAATTTGGGGAGCGCTAAACTGGGGCGGGGGGGTTCTGTTGGGGGGGATTTGTGCTAGCAGGGGATTTTTTTTGGGGGGGGATTTGTGCTAGGATGGGGGATTGGGGGAGGGGGGATTTGGAGTAAGGGGGTAGAGGATTTGCACCAGGAGGTGGAATTATTTTTTTTTTTTGGGGGGGGGGGGACGTGCCAGGATGGGGGATTGGGGGAGGGGGGAATTGGAGTGGGGGGGTAGAAGATTCACACTAGGAGGGGGAATTTTTTTTTTGGGGGGGTAACATGCTAGGATGGGGGATTGGGGGAGGGGGGATTTGGAGTGGGGGAGTAGGGGATTTGCACTAGGAGGGGGAATTTATTTTTGGGGGGGAAACATGCTAGGATGAGGGATTGGGGGATTTGTGCTAGGAGAGGTAATTTTTTTTGGGGGGGTGGGATTTGTGCTAGGATGGGGGATTGGGGGATGGGGGATTTGGAGTAAGGGGATAGAGGATTTGCACTAGGAGGCGGAATTTTTTTTGGGGGGGTGGGGGGGGGGTAAACGTGCTAGGATGGGGGATTGGGGGAGGGGGGATATGGAGGGGCCGCTTGGGGGATATGGAAGTGGGCCGCTTGGCCTGGGACCTGGAAGATGGTGGAGATCACTGGACTAGCGGGGCAGGGCAGCCTGGAGTAGCTTGGCCTTGGGGACATGAAAGATGGTGAAGATCACTGGAGTAGCGGTAGGGCAGCTGCTTGGCCTGGGACCTGGAAGATGGTGGAGATCACTGGGCAGTTGGCCTGGGACCTGCGGAGTAGCGGTAGGGCAGCCGCTTGGCCTGGGACCTGGAAGATGGTGGAGATCACTGGAGTAGCGGTAGGGCAGCCACTTGGCCTGGCCTGGGAGGGCAGCTTTGGAAGAAGATGGTGAAGATCACTGGAATAGCGGTAGGGCAGCTTCTTGGCCTGGGACTGGGAAGATGGTGAAGATCACTGGAGTAGCGGTAGGGCAGCCGCTTGGCCTGGGACAGGAAGATGGTGGAGATCACTGGAGTGGAGAGGGCAGCCGCTTGGCCTGGGACCTGGAAGATGGTGAAGATCGGTAGGGCAGCCGCTTGGCCTGGGACTGGGAAGATGGTGAAGATCACTGGAGTAGCGGTAGGGCAGCTTCTTGGCCTGGGACTGGGAAGATGGTGGAGATCACTGGAGTAGCGGTAGGGCAGCCGCTTGGCCTGGGACCTGGAAGATGGTGAAGATCACTGGAGTAGCGGTAGGGCAGCTTCTTGGCCTGGGACTGGGAAGATGGTGAAGATCACTGGAGTAGCGGTAGGGCAGCCGCTTGGCCTGGGACAGGGAAGATGGTGGAGATCACAGGAGTACTTGCCATTGGTCAAAGGTGGACTATGGAAAAAAAAAAAAAAGAAAATTCCATACCTGAAATTCAGCTTTGAAATTTCTTTTTGAGAATTTTTTTTTTGTGACCCATTAGGGCAGATTTTACAGCACTTCCTGGTTCTGTGACACCTGTAGAGGAAAATTTGGGGATGGTGGTCACCAGGGCAGAAAAAAACATTTGTTCCCATTTTATACATGTTTTTGTTTGTACTCCTTTTTGGAGAGATTTCCCATCACCTTCCGGGGTCACAGGGGCTATAACCCTCCCCCGCTGTATCTAAAATGAGGCAAAATGTTTTGGCCAGAGTTGCCCTTAAATTCTAATTTTTTCCTTTCCAAGGTGCTCCCTACGTTGGGCTATCACTGACGCCATCCAATGACTGGTCATCTGCCTGGCCTCCTCCCAGCCGTACCGTGGTTTGTACCCCACGTCGCCCTGCACCTTCCTGTAAGAGAAGGTGAAGGGGGTGTTCAGGAGGGTCAGGAGGTGCCGGGTGAATGGCGGCACAAACCTTACAAATGGCCGAAGTACCAAGCTGACCACCTCCATGAAGGAAGCCACGATGTAGAGTATGGGGAGAGGCATGGCCAGCTTGCTCTCCACCCCCAGGCCCAGCTCCTTGCCCAGGGCATGGTTCAGGTCCGAGTAGCTCATGTGGGGGGTGTCATCGGTAATGAAGTAGAAGTTCCCGCCTATCTTCTTGGTTGCCTCTGGGTCCTTCATGGCTTGAGCTGCCAACAGATGGGCCCAGGCAACGTTGCCGACATACACGGGGTTGACCAAGGCCTCTTTCCTGGAGGATCTAAGGAAGACATCACCGTTCAGTAGAGCTTGGTCTAAATGAATTTGGAGGAACTGAGACCCCTCGCCGTAGATGTACGTAGGGCGGAGAGAACAGGTGGTCAGAGTTCCTCCATCCTGTAACTCCTGACCGTTGGCCTTCAAGACCTTCTCTTCTGCCAATCTCTTGCTCTCTCCATAGCTGAAGCCCAATTTGCTGTCATACGCCATCTCCTCCGTGCCGTTGACCATGGGGTCCCCTCGGGTGTTCGGTCCATACACCTCAATACTGCTGGTGTAGATGAAGTGCGGCACGTTGTTCTGCAGGCACGCCTCCAGCAGCTGCTCCCGTCCCTGCAAGACCAAACACAAAGCTTTGAAGGCCAACTCCATCCTGTAAGGGGAACCACCAAGCCAACGGCCAATGCTAAGCAGCAAATTCTGAAACCAAGTCAAAGGGAAAGTGGAATCCTGCAGCCATATTTGAGGAAAGGAACATGGGACAAAGGGGTACCACCATTCCTCCTGTACGGGGCCCAGGCCAACAGGGCTTGGTGAATCAGATGTGGGCAGGGAGGTAGTTCGGCACGATCGGGGGCAATTACTGGAACCGATCCCCTTTAGGGCTCTCTGCAGCAGCTGAAAGCCGGCTTCTTCTCCTCTCCCTACATCTGGCTGCAGAGGGAGCCCAACAGGCAGGGGCGGACTGACAACTCATGGGGCCCCTGGGCAATAGGGGATCATCGGGCCCCTGTGTCCTCACCCACACCCAAAAAAGCAAATGAAAGGTACCAGGGGCATCTCATGGGGCCCCCACTGACCCCGGGGCCCTCGGGCAGTGACCGAGTGCTTGAATGGTCAGTCCACCCCTGCCTACAGGGGATCGGTTCCAGTAATTGTCCCCTTCCTGGTGCCCCCATCACCCTCCCTTTGCACCATACATGCCCCCCCTGTGTGCCCCCACCCCCCGCAGTGCTGCCCACCAGCAGCAGCAAGCACTCAATAGGATCCTTCAGGATGGAGAGTGGAGGAAGGGTCTTGTACATATGTCACATTTACCAGGCTCCGCCTTTCCTAGTTGAAAACAACGAGTGATCGGTAACAATCACTCACTGTGTTCATTCGTATCTGATGCATTGTGGGGGGGCCCTCTCAGGTTGGCTGTATGGGGGGCCCCGTGATTTCTAACAGCAGTGCTGACTTATTTTTGGGCTCCGGGTCTGTTACCCGGGGTCTTCCATCACGATTTGGTCAGCCATGGACACAATTTAGTATTTGGTGTCACTTCAGTGCCTGTGCAGTTTTTTTTATTTTTTTTTTTTAGGGTCAGTGATTGGCCAAGAAGTTACAGAGGCCTGGGGGCAAGTGAGCGATGGAAGCGGGCTTTTATCCAGATGGGTTCCCTTTTAAAAAACTCCACCCTTGCGGCTTCACCACCAGTTTCCTACTGCACATGTGCAAAGCGCTGCTTTTTGTGAATGGGCCACATTCCTCTGGGACCTTTGACGTATCCCAGAGTGCTGCGGGAAGGGGGAGGCAAACTTCCGGCTCAGTTTCCTGCGGGGAAATGAGCCGGAAGTGGGAGCGGGTACCTGCTGCCCCCCCCAAAAGGTGCCAAATGTGGCAGCGGGTGCATTTTGGATGACGTTGGCAGCGGTGTGCTGTCTCACCGGTCACATTGATGGACATGATGACACATACAGTGGGGATGGAAAGTATGGGCACCCCAGCTAAAAATTTGTAATAATGTGCATAAAGAAGCCAAGGAAAGATGGAAAAATCTCCAAAAAGGCATCAAATTACAGATTAGACATTCTTATAATATGTCAACAAAAGTTAGATTTTATTTCCATCATTTACACAACTTTCAAAAATAACAGAAAACCAAAAAAAATGGCATCTGCAAAAGTTTTGGGCCCCCTGCAGAGTTAATATCTTGTACTCTGCCCCTTTGCCAAGCTGAGAACTCCTGCCAGTGTCATGGATTGTGTCTCAGTCATCGTCTGGGAAGACCAGGTGATGTCAATCTCAAAGGTTTTAAATGCCCAGACTCATCTGGACCTTGCCCCAACATCAGCACCATGGGTTCTTCTAATCAGTTGTCTAGAAAACTGAAACTTGAAACATAGTTGACGGCTCACACAAGCTGGAGAAGCTATAAGAAGATAGCAAAGCGTTTTCAGATGTCAATATCCTCTGTTCGAATGTAATTAAGAAATTGGCAGTCATCAGGAACAGTGGAAGTTAAAGCAAGATCTGGAAGACCAAGAAAAATATCAGACAGAACAGCTCGCAGGATTGTGAGAAAAACAATTCAATACTCACGTTTGACGGCCAACGATCCCTCCAGAAAGATCTGGCAGGACCACGGAGTTGTGGTCACTATTCCACTATAAAGAGATACTTTGTACAAATATGGTCTTCATGAAGGCGTCATCAGAAGCAAACCTCTTCTATGTCCTCACCACAAAAATCATCGATTGAACTTTGCAAATGAACATATAGACAAGCCGATGCATTTGGAAACAAGTTCTGTGGACCGATGAGGTTAAAATTGAACTTTTTGGCGCGGGAATGAGCAAAGCGTACGTTGGAGAAGAAGGGGCACAGAATTGAATGAAAAGAACCTCTGTCCAACTGTGAAGCATGGGGTTGGATCCAATCATGCTTTGGGGGTTGTGTTGCAGCCAGTGGCACAGGGAACATTCTCACGAGTAGAAGGAAAAAATGGATTCAATAAATTTCAGCAAATTTTGGATGGTAAACTTGATGCCATCTGTGAAAAAGCTGAAGTTAAAGAGAGGATGGCTTCTACAAATGGGATAAATGATCCTAAACACACCTGGAAATCCACGGGGGATTACATCAAGAGGCGTAAACTGAAGGTTTTGCCTGGCCTTCACAATCTCCTGACCACAACATCATTGAAAATCTATGGATAGACCTTAAAAAGAGCCGTGCGTGACAGACAGCCCAGAAAATCTCAAGAACAATGAACTCGGAAGACTTTTGTAAGGAAGAATGGGCAAAGATACCTCAAACAAGAATGGAAAGACTCTCGGTCTGGCTACAAAAAGTGTTTACAAGCCCGTGATACTTGCCAAAGGGGGCAGTACAAGATATTAACTCTGCAGGGGGCCCAAACTTTTGCAGACGCCATTTTTTTGTTTTCTGTTATTTTGAAAGTGTAAATGATGGAAATCAAATCTAACTTTTGTTGACATATTATAAGAATGTCTAATCTGTAATTTGATTGCTTTTGGAGATTTTTATTCCATCTTTCCTTGGCTTCTTTATGCACATTAATACAATTTTTTAGCTGGGGTGCCCAAAACTTTCCATCCCCACTGTATATATATCTCATGATGAAATGCGTTTTTGCGTTTTTATTCCAAAAACATATGAAAAATATATATTTAAAATACAAATCTAACATTTTTGGAATGCATTTTACAGATATATGTTATTTGACACATGAACAAAAAATATATTATTTTTAAAATGACATACAGTATATTTGAAAACGTATTTTTAAAAATATTTTCATATGTTTTGTAAATAAAAAAGCATTTCAACATACAGTATATATATAGTTATTTATTGAAATATATTTTGAAATATATTGACTACTGCCAAAAAATTTAGCATTTCAAATATATGTCAATATACTTGGGAAGAATATTTTTTAAATTTATTTCAAATATATCTTTTTTTTTTCATTATGGGTATTATTTATTATTATGTTATTATTAACCCCCTTCCAGTCCGGACACTTTCCCTCCCTTCCAGTCCGGACACTTTCCCCCCTTCCAGTCCGGACACTTTCCCCCCCTTCCAGTCCGGACACTTTCCCTCCCTTCCCAGTCCGGACACTTTTCCCCCTTCCAATCCGAACGTTCCGGACATTTCCCCCCCTTCCAGTCCGGACACTTCCCCCCCCTTCCAGTCCGGACACTTCCCCCCTTACAGTCCGGACACTTTCCCCCCTCCCAGTCTGGACACTTCCCCCCCTTCCAGTCCGGACACATTCACCCCCTTCCAGTCGGACACTTCACCCCCTTCCAGTCTGGACACTTTCCCCCCCTTCCAGTACGGACACTTTCCCCCCCCAGTCCGGGACACTTTCACCCCCTTCCAGTCAGAAACTTCCCCCCCCCCCTTCCAGTCTGGACACTTTCACCCTCTTCCAGTCCGGACACTTTCCCCCCTTTCCAGTCCGGACACTTTCCCCCCCTTCCAGTCCGGACACTTTCACCCCCTTTCCAGTCCGGACACTTTTTCCCCCCCTTTCCAGTCCGGACACTTTCCTTCCCTTCCAGTCCGGAAAATTTCACCCCCCTTCCAGTCCGGACACTTTTCCCCCCTTCCAGTCCGGACACTTTCCCCCCTTCCAGTCCGGACCACTTTCACCCCCTTCCAGTCCGGACACTTTCCCCCCTTTTTAAGTCCGGACACTTTCACCCCCTTCCAGTCCGGACACTTTCACCCCCTTCCATCCGGACATTTTCACATCACCCCCTTCCAGTTCGGACATTTTCCCTCCACTTCCAGTCCGGACACTTTCACCACCTTCCAGTTCGGACACTTTCCCCCCCCCCCCTTCATCCGGACACTTTCACCCCTTCCAGTCCGGACACTTTCCCCCCCTTCCAGTCCGGACACTTTCACCCCTTCCAGTCCGGACATTTTCACCCCCTTTAGTCCGGACATTTTCCCCCAACTTCCAGTCCGGACACTTTCACCCCCTTCCAGTCTGGACACTTTCCCCCCCCCCTTCCATTCCGGACACTTTCACACCCTTCCAGTCCGGACACTTTCCCCCCCCTTCCAGTCCGGACACTTTCACCCCTTCCAGTTCCGGACACTTTCACCCCCTTCCAGTCGGACACTTTCCAGTCTGGACACTTCCCCCCCCCCCCCCCCCTTTCCTGCCCAGGGCAATTTTCAGCTTTCAGCGCTATCACACTTTGAATGACAAAATTGTAGCATTTGAAATATATTTTTCTTCCATATGGGTATTATTACTATTATTATTATTATTTTTTTTTTTGGTTCGGGTGTTTTATTTATTGTTATTGCTATTATTATTATTCATTTTTTATTATTTTGTTTATTGTTAGGGTAAGGGGTTCGTTAAGGTTAGGTTAGAGTTAGTTACATAGTTAGTCTGGCTGAAAAAAAGACAAAAGTCCTTCCAGTTCAACCATTGAAAAAAAAAAAAAAAGTTATATTCTGACACCCACAGTTTCCTCTTGTACCTTTGTTTAGAAAGTTTGGGGACCCCGGATCTAAATCCAGGTCATGATCTCACAGAACAGTATTAGGTCTTTCTGTCATTGGTGGTCAGTTTTATAGGACATGATCTGTTACCTTTTTATATTAAAAATTAATAA